ATTTAAGCAACCAGAGATACAAAAAAGACACGTCCTCTGATTACAGATAATGTAAATTCTTATTTGCGATTTCTTAATAGTACATCTTGTATTTTTCCACGTAAACACTATTTTCATATTTATGTGGAACAGATCATATCTGAATATCTATTGTATGTGTGATGTATTATATCGTACCTTGTTATACTGTCATTTTGCTGATATTTTTTTGGACTTATTTCTACATTCTTTCCTCCACTTTCAGTAATAGCCATACTGACGGCCGTAACAACTTAATTTCGAACTATACTACTGCCATGTATCTTTTAAAGAAAGTACATTTATCGAGAACATGCTAGAGCTTAGTTAGGAAGTTTGTATGTTTACACTTGATTTTGTATGCTGTTTATAATAGAATAATGTACATGAACCCTTATGCACTATTTGTCACTATGTGGTTAGTTTAATCGCTCCTTATGTATTTGTGATTGGTGTTCAGCATAATTTAAAAGATTGTTGCATGTCACTTCAGATCAGATCAGAAACATAGTATGACTGTTGATGAAATGTAGTGTGCTCCAGTATGATTATTACATTACTTATCAAAATACAACATCTTCTCAAATGGAAATACAAGATACAACAGAATAATCAAAGATTAATTATACAAACCGCCCCCCTCGGCTGTATAAACAAATGGTATTCATGAGTATCGATAGAGGGCGAGGAGCGCCTAGGCTGCAACAGGCTGAGAGGCGAGCGTAACCAGCTCGATAGTATAGGGGTACCATGGCAGGAGTACATTAGTATTATATAGGTACTAACAACATTCGAGAACACAAAAAAAATAGGTTTAGGAATTATGATACATATGTAACTATATATATACAGATCAAATATACAGTGATATTTTTTACTTGATATTTCGTTATTAAATGTCGATTGTATCACTTATTTATTAATTATATTGTCTATGAATATAACTTTGACCCGGCCTTGGTCAAAACAACATGAATTTTAAAGAAATTAAACGTAATAAAAACAATTTGAGAAAAGAAAAGACAAGAAAAGAAAAGAAGCGCTTTATTTTGAAGTACTTCCGGGTGAGTGTGACCTTTCTAGGCTCCGTCGCCGTGTCCGCCATCCTTCTCTCTCCGCTCCGGAGCAGGACACACTCAGCAGGGCACCAACATGCTGTCAGTACGTGTTGCAGCGGCTCTTGCCCGCAGTCTACCACGACGGGCTGGATTTGTAAGTAACTTTAAAGTATTTGTGTTTCGATTTGTGTCGACTGTCTGCAGAAAATCCCGACTTTATTCCTGTTTTTTTTGTTAAAGAAAAAGAAGCCCATGCCGACTTTGTGTCTGCACACGTCTTTGCACACCGGAGGACACCGGGCCCTTCACATAAGTTAACTATAGCTAGTTCCCAACACTTGTAGCTGACAGACAGGAACAAGATAGTACAGTACATTAATAAGAGTGACTGGACAACTAAAACATACTATCAACGCTGTGTTTTACGGCGTTACTGCATTAATATGACTAAGCTAAAGTGCAGTAATGACGAATGTAATTTGGTATTGAAGGTCAGGTTTGTGTCACTACGGATGCTAGCTTTTTACTGCAAATGCATTCACCAGGCGAAGCTTTGCATAGTTGTTAGTGTGTGTGGGTTGACAATATAGTGGATTTTCTACTGTTCTGGGTAGTAACTGTTATAGGTGAGGACTCTCCTGTGACTCTGCAGACTGCATGACCCCATGACCCCCTTGGGGCCTTTGTCCTGTTTTAAAATAGGAAATAGGAATGTCCAAGAGTGTATTTTTTTCCCCTTCAACAGTAATTTACAGTGAAATATGAGTGCAAGACGGCTCACATCAACTTAATGTTGTGCCACTTACATTTCAGCCATAATATCACAACACTAAACAGCTGTTTCTACAATCTTCATACACTCCTCTGACAATCTGGATGTCTGCTGTATGATTAATAAGATTTATGACCTGTCCACTAAGTTCACATCTCTGTTTGGCACATGTCCTCTTTCTTTTTGTAATACGCAAGAAAGAATATTAATTAAGGCATCATTTAATAATAGAAGTTTGAAATGTTAAAATGTTGGTTGGTTTATGTTGTGTTAATTCACCAAGATGTATATCATTTATGGTTTTTATTTAGATTAGGAGACTGACCTTTTTTTCCACTGTAGTGTTAGACTTCATTAGTTTTAACTCAATTGCACTCAATAAGTTGGCAGCTGATTTTTATATTGGATTTTTTGAATAAGTGATTTAAAAAAAAAGCTGCACTTATTTCATCTGAATAAAATCGATTCCTTTTCTCGTTCCCATTGTCCTGAAGGTATCCAAGAATGTAGCTGCAGCATGTGTAGGAGCCAAGAACCTACACACAGCCCGGCCATGGCTGCAGAAAACAGGTCAGTGTTTCCTGAAATCTACTTAATAAAAAAATGAATTAATTGGAAACAGTAATACCAAACAGGGCTTCTAAACTTGTTATTTGTGGACCTTTCTTAATTAACACTTAACATACATTATAGGCACAGCCGAGGTGTCGTCCATTCTGGAGGAAAAGATCTTGGGAGCTGACACCAGTGCCGACTTGGAGGAGACTGGTCGTGTGCTGTCCATCGGTGATGGTATTGCCAGAGTGTACGGTCTGAGGAACGTGCAGGCTGAGGAGATGGTGGAGTTCTCCTCTGGTCTGAAGGTAACACTGATCTTCTGCTGCTACAGCTTGAATGTTTGAGAAGACTGGATTCAAACATCAGTGATTGTATTCACTCGGTAGTAACTGTTGTTTCTTCTCTTACTCAGGGCATGTCTCTGAACTTGGAGCCCGACAATGTTGGTGTTGTGGTGTTTGGTAACGACAAGCTGATCAAGGAAGGCGACATAGTCAAGAGAACAGGGGCTATTGTAGATGTGCCTGTTGGTCAGGAGCTCCTGGGCCGTGTCGTAGATGCTCTGGGAAATGCTATTGATGGAAAGGTAAATGATGATGATAATAATAAACTGCATTTCTATAGCATAATTCATGCATAAAATGTATTTTGCATACACATAGTGCTTTATGTAGAAGCAATTAATCATGGCATTTACAATAAAACGATAAAAGATAAAGCTACATGAAAGACAAGATGGGATAAAGTAATTGGAAAGTAAAAACACTTGAAGGATTTTCAGTCCCTTAAACCCTCAGGCAGCCTAAGAATAGTTCAAACAAAAGCTGCCTCTCCATGCCCTTTAGTTCTGACCTCAGGAACAATAAACAAGCTTGGGGGAAATAACAGGCACATATTTCCTAACCATATCAAGTAGGAAAGATGTGGGCGAGGGAAGCCATTCAGTGTTTTAAAAACCAATAAAAGCATCTTAAAACTAATTCTGTGACGGACACGTTTAAAAATTGTGTAATGAGTAATGTGTGCTCCCTGTCTAGTCCTAGTGTGGGTATCGTCTGTGATTAGTAATACCACTTCTGATCTTTTTATTTATTTTACTCACAGGGTCCGCTTGGCTCCAGCACCCGCAGGCGTGTGGGTCTCAAGGCCCCAGGTATCATCCCCCGTATCTCTGTGAGGGAGCCAATGCAGACTGGCATCAAAGCCGTGGACAGTTTGGTCCCCATCGGTCGTGGACAGCGTGAGCTCATCATTGGAGACAGGCAGACTGGGTAAGAGGACTCTGCTCAAAGGGAATACATGAACGCATGGCAGCATTTGATGTTATTTCTAGTGCCTTTTGAAACGCTGTTACACTCACACAAATACTATAAAACAGTCTTGAGTATTGTTTTCTTACTTAAAAGCTTTCAGATGCACTAATTCACTTTCTCTGTATCGTGCTTCAAAGCTCGAGACTCACGAATGTACAACATGGATCTGCTTGTCGGCATATCCATGGTGCTTAGCCTTTAAATTTGTGTTGCAGCAAAACCGCAATTGCCATTGACACGATTATCAACCAGAAGCGTTTCAATGAGGGAACCGACGAGAAGAAGAAGCTGTATTGCATCTACGTCGCTATCGGCCAGAAGAGATCCACTGTGGCTCAGCTGGTGAAGAGGCTGACCGATGCCGACGCCATGAAGTACACCATTGTGGTGTCTGCTACTGCCTCTGATGCCGCTCCGCTGCAGTACCTGGCTCCCTACTCTGGCTGCTCCATGGGAGAGTACTTCAGAGACAACGGCAAGCACGCCCTGATCATCTACGACGATCTGTCCAAGCAGGTGAGTTTTATCTAACCAATTGTAAGAGGGGATTTTAACACAGGGAAACCAGTCTCTGTGAGTAGTTTTAACAAAGTTTGCTGATAAACCTAACCAACATCTTTTATCTTTCTACAGGCTGTCGCCTACCGTCAGATGTCCCTGCTGCTCCGTCGTCCCCCCGGTCGCGAGGCTTACCCAGGAGACGTCTTCTACTTGCATTCCCGACTGCTTGAGAGAGCTGCTAAGATGAACGACAACTTCGGCGGTGGCTCCCTCACAGCCCTTCCCGTTATCGAGACCCAGGCTGGTGACGTGTCCGCTTACATTCCTACTAACGTCATCTCCATCACAGACGGACAGGTGAGTGTGTGACTCGTTGACTGGCTTCGTCGCAATTAAAATCCTGAACCAGCTGCTAAATGCTGTTCTCTCACTCAGATCTTCTTGGAGACTGAGCTGTTCTACAAGGGTATTCGTCCAGCCATCAACGTCGGCCTGTCTGTGTCACGTGTCGGATCTGCTGCCCAGACCAGGGCCATGAAGCAGGTTAGCCTTCATTTTTAATCCCCCATCTCTGAGCTTCTATCACAATGAATGTCTTTGATTCTGACCTGTTGATTTCTGTTGATTAACAGGTGGCTGGTACCATGAAGCTGGAGCTGGCCCAGTACCGTGAGGTGGCTGCCTTCGCTCAGTTCGGTTCTGATTTGGACGCCGCCACTCAGCAGCTGCTGAACCGTGGTGTTCGTCTGACTGAGCTCCTTAAACAGGGACAGTACTGTGAGTATTTACATTTAATATCACATTTCCTTAATAGGCTTTTTCAGTAAATGTGTTTATTCTACAGTTATCTTATGTATTGTGGCTGTATACTTTCATCTTGCAGCTCCCATGGCTATTGAAGAACAGGTAACAGTCATTTATGCTGGTGTGAGAGGACATCTGGACAAAATGGAGCCTAGCAAGATCACAAAGTTTGAGAAGGCATTCCTGCAGCACATACTGAGCCAGCACCAAGACCTGCTGTCAGCTATTAGGTAAGTTTAAAGAGTTTTGGAACATCATTTAGATTTTTGCATTGTAATTTATGTTCTGTATGTATAATCTCTTCTTAATTGCAGGACTGATGGCCAAATCTCCGAGGCATCCGATGCAAAACTCAAGCAAGTTGTATTGAATTTCCTCTCCAGCTTTGAGTAGAGTGCTTTTTGGTCTGGTTGTTTTCATGTTTGCATAGTACAGTGTCAGTTATACTTTCTATGAACTTGAAAAATAAAAATTCAAGGGGCACTTGATCTTTAATGTACAGATATCTCAAAACAGAGAATAAAGTATTCCAACTAGTTCACTTGATCGCCTCTTTTTGTGCTTGGAGAAGAGCTGGATCAGCTTCAGTTTTGATGTCTCACACAACAATTTGAAGTTACAATTGATTATATAACACAGTAAAACTACTGAAAACATTGCTGATAGAGTGCACAACCACACTTCCGAACTATGTTTTTAAAATCCTGCCTTTTATTTGTTGAGCAGATGATGTGCAGTTGCTGTCTTCCCTGCAATTCAGATCAAAACAAAAAATCTCTCACCGAAAAACCGACAAATGGGACTTTATTAAGTATGCACATTGTTGTTGACAGTAAACAATAGTGCCCATTTCTTTATGGTTTCAATGTTGCATTATTTGCTTTGTGAGAGTAATGTATGAAATCATCCTTTCAATTGTCTCAACTTGTTTTGAAATGCAACTGAAGAGGACACATGCATGCACACAGAATTTTACATGAATTTAGAGATGACAAGCTTTTATATCATAACAACTGATTGACACGGATCAGACAAATAGCAGAAAAGCACGAACATTTGGGAGAAAGAAAGCAGAAAGGGACAATCTTACAACCAGCAACTGAAATTTGAAAGAAACTTATCCTTAAATGTGTCCTGAATACTCTTGCAACTCCATTTTCTTTGAGGTTGCTGTAGTTTAAGTGGCTTTTATGGCTCAAACTACTTTAAGTGATTATCAACAAATCAAAGGAACTGTCCTAATGTAATGTTTAAAAACTTATTTTAACTGCTGAGCTTAGGCGCCCTGCATTGCATAATACCCAATACTGTGCTTACTGTTTCTATATATTGTTTTTATGACAAGCAACCATCAAGCATTAAATCAGGTGATGAATATTTAGTATAAGTCTACTAAAGCTCAGTATCAATATTTTCTTATATTATCTACTTCCATCTCTGTCTATTTATACAGGGCAATCAAACACTAACACTGCCCATACTACAGTGCCCTCACTACAGTGCCCTGTGCTGGTAAGGAGTGGCTTATGGAAGATGTCCAAATCAGAAAAAATCCTTTTGGTGATTCTAAATTAGTCTTTATTGATCAGAGTGAATCAAAACAATCAAAACAATAGTAGTGAATACAAATCTTAATGTGAATGTTCATGAAATCCAGAACTGGTTGAACAGTCCTGTTAATATGAAACAGTGTCTAGAATTTACATTAACATAAGGGAAGGTGTGGATGGTAAATATTTCACAATAACTTCAGTGAAGGTGCTAAGTAAATATTTTACAATTTGAACAAATTCAGTGGCAGAGTGCATTCTTCATCATTAAAACAAACGAGTCAAATCAGTTTAAACTAGTGTGAATTCATAGTGATTATAAGTGAGACAAACTAAATCAATGAAGACTGAAACATGCATAGGTTATTTAACTTAAATAAATAAGTAATTAAAAATAAATAAACATTAAAACTACTAATTCTTGACAGCTAGGACATCTCACACCCAGTACTGTTTGGTGTGCACTGCAGGTCTGTGTGTGTGTTTATGTTTGGGTACATTATTCTGTTTGACATAGCAGGGGTCATAATAATCCCACTCCAAAGCTGAAGCTAGAACACCGTTGGACAGACCGTCACTGTCTGCTGAAAGAATCCGCAGGGAGACACCTGAAAAGAAATCATACGCATATTCAAGATTCTCTCTTTATATGTTTTAAGTCATGTAAATACTCTACTTTGGATAACAATGTGTGTCCAAATCAGCACAAACAAGCAATGAATTAACAGAAACCTAAACTTATTTTTGCATGGAGTGAGACTTTAAATAAAGCAAATTAACTTTAAAATGTATTAACAGTGAATTTCTGAGTCCCTCTGTAATACTTTATCCCCTGTCACCAGATAATTTGCCTCTTATTGGCGATGACCATGCAAAACAAATAATTTTTCTAGGCAAATATTGTAACGGAAGTAACATTGAGCACTTTCAAGAGTTGGATTTATATATTTCAGATGACAAAACATTTTGACTAACTATATAGAAAATGTCACCTTCAATAAAAAGAGATCTAGTCTACTAGTTAGCCACTGGATCTGTTTTCGTGATTAATCCAGTGCTATTATAACAAATCACCGCAGGTATGTGGACATCTCCATGTTTATTTTCGGACAAAGAAGCAGGTTGAAATGATTCCCAGTAGCCTCATTCAACATTAAAATACACTACCCGTATATATTGCATAAATTGGACCGCTTGTGCCTATAGCTTGCAATCAGTGCTTACCTTGTTTTCCACAAAACATACATGTTATGTTATAACTTTACATAGCAGTCATGTTTTAAACTGAAAAAAACTTCTTCCAACCAGATTTCATTTAGTAAGGAAGATAATTTATGTCCCTAACTGGTGAGATTCTGTGTAAATGACTAAGATAAGCAAACAGCTCTGAGGTACAATTTTCATCATACTATACCCCCAGACTATTTGTTTGAGGCAGCAGTAACATTCATTATTAATGACCAGCCATATTGATTAGTATGCAGCTGAAGGAGACTGAAGCGTACCTGCACTTGCACCAAAGTCGCTGTCCAGTCCAGGACCCACTGCAGACGTGTTCAGACAGGACGCCTCTGAAGGCAGGTTGGTGTACTCGCACTCCATGTCTACTTTGTCAAATACATGCACTGCAACACCTGGGTTCACATCTGTCAGCATCTCATAAGTACTGCTCCGACTATGACCCACACATTCTGTCTCCTGCTGTGAACAAAAAAGACAGCACACAGTTGGACATTCACTTTTGTTTTTTCTTAAGTAATAATCTGAGTATAGGATGTATGTTTTACTTTTCTTATTTGTTTGGAATAAACTAAAAAAGCAGGGTAGTTAGTATAAGCAGTGACATCCAATCGGGAGAACAGTCACAGAAAAGAGCACCACCCACTGAAACACACAAGTAATCTCTGAAGACTGCAGTACCTAAACAAAAAGGAGAGCTTTTGCACCAAACATGAGCTACAGTGATAGCTGAGAAACAGTAATATATTGATAGTAATTACTAGAGATGTGAGGGTGTCAAATATATGACACTGCTGCTTGGAACCTTTCCACATAAAAGCAAAATGTAACTGATTTTAATCAAAATTATTAAGAAAAAAAAAACAGACGTAAGAAATATTAGGAATTAATATTTAAATACATTTTACAACAATAAGCTAAGATATTTCTATTATGTAAGAATCAAAATGTTTACTCATGTTTCAATATTTACAAATACCATAACATTTTGAAACATGTGAGTAACAACTGACCTGTGTCCCAGACCTCCAGGGACCCTCAACAAACCCGATGTCACTCTGTGGCGACTGATTTGTAGTCATTTTATTGACTATAACTTTGTTTGGTATTTTTTTGGGTAGCATTGGAAAAAGAAACACTAAAGCAAACATCAACAGACACAATAAGGACCTATAAATCAAGTTATCTTGAGTCATGTCCTCAAAATCTAATTATAAAGACCTCATTTTACCTCATATCCACCTACCTCATGTATATAAAATAACCAGCGACACAAAAAATATTTATTCCAGCATCCTTTGCATTATTGTCTTACTGTCTACAAATGTTATTGCTGTATATATCTTATCTGCACGTAGCAGTTTGTTTTCCTTGTTGAGCTTGTTGTCCTGTTTATTCTGCTGTATATATATATGCCTATTCTGTGTATGTATGTATGTACACTGAGTAACATAAAACTAGAGTCAAATTCCTTGTACGTGTACACATACCTGGCTTATAAAAGTGATTCTGATTTTGATATTATGATATTGACGCAGCTTCACCATGTGTGTATGTTGTTATCAATTCACAAACACAGCCTTGCCCAAGGTGCTGATATTCGGATAATTGCCACACATAAAAACCTGGAATTCCTTATTCCAGGAATAATGTACAAAATGAACAAAGAGGAAGAGTAACAGGGGCCTAGTTGTGCTAGTTTGAACCTGCCTGTGTTGGCCCCACTGTCAAATTGTGTGTTTAGGTTATTTTTCTTACAGAGGTTCTTGAACTAAATATCCACCAACTAGTCCCTAACAATGACCCTTGACTCCTTAGGTCTCTTCCTGGTCATTTCTGAGTTATTTACACTCACCATTGGGGAGTTTGGCGGAACAAGGTTCACTCTGATTTCAGCCTCTGAATCACTGGACTGCGGTAGAACTGGTGCGCTTTTACACCAGCCCGCTTTGCTGATGCTGCATGCCCGTGAGCCGGAGGCCAGGTCGAATCTCGGGGTGAGACCAGCCGCAGAGGAAGCGGCCCGGATGGTGCTCGGCGCCCTCATTGACCCTGAGCCGGTGGCACCATCTGGCCTCAGGAGCCGGAACCTGTGATCCTCCCCGGCCCTCTCCCTGGATGAAGCCCTGGAAGAGGTGACAGGATGGGGCAGGACGGGCTCCGACAGAGACGTGTAGGCTCTCCTCACGTCCTGCAGAGGAAAGGCCACCTCGGATACTCGTCTTACCCTATGCAGGGTGGACTGCAGAAGCATCTCCTCTGTGTCCTCTCGCTTCTGTCTGTTGCTCTTCTTTGACAGGTTCAATAACTTGTAGCCCAGAAACAGGCAGTTCAGCAGCAGCAGGATGACCACACAGGGTATCAGCAAAAGGACGACTAAAGTCAAATTTGTGACGGGGTAACCTTCAGCCACATCCGATGGTGTGCTCTGACTTGTTTGCGACATTTCATTACAGAGGACATAGAGGGGGAATTTTAGAGAACTGCTGATCTCAGTTGAGATTTCACGTTGTCTCTGGATGCACAGGTGGGTCGGTGTGTCAATCAATGTGGACCACTTTGTGTTTGAAAGTGTTTTTTATCCAACAGCGACATGTCAGCCTTCTTCTCGCATGTAAACAAGTCTCCAAGTGTGACTGTTGTCTTTATCCCCCCTTGTCTTCATCACTGCGGACCAATACTGTCAGTGTTAACAAAACAAAAGGGCTGGATCTGAGACGACTATGCACCGCGAACTTAGTTGGCAGCCACGTAGATTACAGATCAGCAGGTGTGTCCTATTATGTGCAGGTTGTTTCGGGTTGTTATATCAACCGAGCACCGCTAGATGGCAGCATTGATGGGGGCCCCAGACTCCTGCATCACTCACTGCAGTGATGATATCCATGCTCTGAATTGAGATCTTGTGGACTGCAGTGTCTGACACAGTGGTGGAAGGAAGGTACTATAAAAAAAAAAAATATCATAACCACACAGATCATGCATTCATAAACTTTTACTTAAGTAAAAAACATATTAGTATTAAAGTATAAAGTATTATCAGCAAGTGTACTTAAAGTGTTTAAAGTAGAAGGGCTTATTTTGCAGGAAAATGGTCCCTGTCTGTTTTATTATTATATATCATGGGATTAATATTACTGCTGTATTAATGTGTATGATGCATTTTAATGCTGCTGTTGTTCAAGGTAGAGCTAATTTTAACTACTTTATAT